TGTCGATCTGACAGAGTTCCAGACCAACTTGGTGCCCTACCCACGTATCCATTTCCCCCTGGCCACCTATGCCCCAGTCATCTCTGCTGAGAAGGCCTACCATGAGCAGTTGTCCGTTGCCGAGATCACCAACTCCTGCTTCGAGCCCGCCAACCAGATGGTGAAGTGTGATCCTCGTCATGGCAAGTACATGGCCTGCTGTCTCCTGTACCGTGGTGATGTCGTCCCCAAGGATGTCAACACTGCCATCGCTACCATCAAAACCAAGCGGTCTATCCAGTTCGTTGACTGGTGTCCAACTGGCTTCAAGGTCGGTATCAACTACCAGCCACCCACTGTCGTCCCTGGTGGTGATCTTGCCAAGGTTCAGCGTGCCGTCTGCATGTTGAGCAACACCACCGCAGTTGCCGAGGCCTGGGCCCGTCTTGACCACAAGTTCGATCTGATGTACGCCAAGCGTGCTTTCGTCCATTGGTACGTCGGAGAGGGTATGGAAGAAGGAGAGTTCTCTGAGGCTCGTGAGGATTTGGCTGCTCTCGAGAAGGACTACGAAGAAGTTGGTGTCGATTCCGTCGACGCAGATGCAGAAGAGGATGAAGGTGAAGAGTATTAAACATTCCGTCAATTAGCACGGACATGGTAGACTTATCGTTTAAGTCATCTCCTTTACCACTTTTCTATTTCCCTCGGCCACCTACGCCCCAGTTCTGCTGAGAAGGTGTACCATGACATGAGCAGTTGACTGTTGCCGAAATCATCAAACTTAAATTTTAATCCGAACAAATTTTGCATTTTTTTATCCAGCAAACATCTCAATGATATTTTCTCGCCAAATAAGAGGCAATCAATTTATTGTTTAGTTTGGTGAACATCTTTTTTATACAAATACATGTGCATTATTTTTTGTTTAATGTAAACATTGTGGTCAATCCAAATGTGAGACTTTACAAATGTAGTAAATTATTTCGTAGTTCACTGATATATTGCCTGTCTTTCGCCAATTCTTTCTCCAGCGATTGTCATGCTAATTAATAGTTCTGGATTGTTTGAAAGAGAATACAGTGTGCAGATATGGGACAACTGAAAGATTCAGAATGTACACTTCACTGCAATATGATGAAGATACATGAACCAGTTATCAAGAAATGAATGAAAAGTCTTTACTATAGTGGGGGTTGCAATGGTGATAATGGTGATGAGTTATCATGCTGGTGATGTTAGTGGTGATGATGTGGATATATGGCCTTGGTATTTGATGGTATTAAAGATGATTATGGGAGCAGGGGCGTACGCAGGATTTTTTCAAGGGGGGGGGGTTTTAAAATCGGGCCCAAAATATTTTGCTCCCGAAAATTTTTAAATCGCGCCAGCCGAAAAGTCGCTCAGTGGGGGGGGGGGGGTTTACACACATAAAAATACCAAGGGGGGGGGGGTTTGAACCCCCAACCCCCCCCCCCCCCTGCGTACGCCCCTGTATGGGAGAATGATAAACGTAGTGATAATGATGTTGACGATTATAATGATGGTAATTGATTGCCTTGCAGATGTGTCTTTGTCGTCAAAAAAGAGTGCAAAGGAAAATCTGTACGAATGGTTGGTGTATTATGTCAGATGTAATTCTCATTAAGTTATTTGAACTGAACCACAGTGACGACATGAAAACATGATTAATTATAAATGTATATTGATGATGGTGGTGACAATGATGTTGGTGATGATGGTGGTGGCGATGTTTTTGATGGTGGTGGTGATGTTGATGGTGATAATGATAGCTGATGATAAGGAAGAATAATTATGATTACTTGAGATGGTGATTCTGTATGAATTAGGTTTGCTAGGTGTAAATGTAAATTTTATGGTGGCCCTGTAATCATTTGTTGATGTTATACCGACATCTATATATACTCGGCAACCTAATAACAAAAATAAAAAAATAATAAAGATTTTCAAATTAATGGTATATACAAAACTTATGTTTCATATTTCCAAAAAAAATGAAGTGGGGAGGGGGGGGGCAAATTTTTTTTTCTTCTTTCCCCCCCCCCCCCCCCCCCCGAAAAAAAAAAATTGGCGTTAACAATGGTTTGAAAAAGTATGTTAAAGAGAAAGAGAAAGAGAAAAAGAAAGAATAGTAACCTGCCAGTGTCAAAATAAGGGGGTTCCGTCCCCTGGACCCCATCAAGGTCCCTTAGGCGGGCCTCTCGATGCTGATCTGACCGTAATCAAATAATACTATAATAATAGCTTGTTCTTATATAGCACTTTTCAGGACCAAAGGCCCTCTCAAAGCGCTTTACAGAAATATATGATTACCCCGGTCATCAGATTCAGGCTTACCTGCACAAAATGTATGCACGTTCTCCACTCGCTGGGGAGCATTCCATCCAGGCGTTATTTTGACAAGCGCACACTTGCTAATCTAAACACATTAGCTTTCGCATCCCAAATGCCTGAAACCCCTGAGCTTCATGGGGCTCAGCTCCCTACGCCCCCCGCCAATTATTGATCTGCCAGTGTCAAAAATAGCCCCCTGAATTGTTCATCTGACCATAATTAAATGCCTAAAACCCCTGAGCTTCATGGGGCTCAGCCCCCTGGACTCAATTTACACTCTAGCTCCAAACGGATGATACGAATCATGAACAAAAAAATAAACCCATTGAGGAAAAAATACAAAACTAGATGAGAATACATGATTAATATAATTATGTATCGTTATACAAAAAAAAGATAAAATGGTTATGACAAAGCATTGCTGGAATTTTTGCACAATACTTTTCTCTTTAAAAAAAATGTTGTGCAGGTTGGTATCTACATGTAGGTGAGAGCAAAACAGTACCCAAAAATCCACCTTTCAAAGATATATGTTTAGTAACAGACCAAGTCTCTTTGATTGGCGATCATGATGGTACCCAAAAAAGGAACCTGGAATTGTGAGAAAGACTTCTCTTTTTTCTTCCTTTTCTTTTGATCAGCCACTTTGCGAAAGTAGCTTACCAAAGAAAGGAACTCTCATACGATCATCTAAATGCATAAAGGCAATATGAAATAAGGAAAAAAAAGAAAATGGAAGCAAAATACAATAAAATACCAAGCAGAGCAGAGTTTGAAATGTATAAGCATATAAACAAATTGATTAGTTATTCATCACATGTTACTTTGAACATTATAATATGAAAGGATTATGACATAGCATCAAAAGTGAAGTTACATGTATTACTAGTATCTCTAGAATGAACATGTATATAGAGTCTAAATGTTCTAAATACAAAAAGTGAAGTTCACCATTTTGAAGAAAAAGTGTTACAAAATAAATTGCATACAAATTGCTTGTGAAAAACATTAGTAAGGCAAAGATGAATATTCCGACAATAAGTTTGCCCTAATTGTTTCCTGTTTTCAACGTCCTCTGAGCCAAACCTACTCACAATATATTGCTAAACCAATAACTTGCATTTAGTATCTCACTCCACTTTTTTCCTTGCATATCTTGCTGTCCGTAGCATTTTTGTCTCGCCTGCATAGCAAAAGCGAGACATAGTCGCCGCTTTTCCAGTGGCGGCGGCAGTGACGGCCTTTTTTCTTCAGATTTAACACTTTGATCTACAGTTGTGCACCAATTTTTTTCTGTGTTCCTAAAAAGGGGAGGGGAGTTTTGATGCTAAATCTTTATCAGAGGAAAAACAAAGCAGATGGTTTAATGTAATATGCATAGAAGCTCATTGATTTGATGCAATTTGGAATGCAAATTCTGTTTCCATTAGGCCTACTTATCAACTGTTTTCCTTCTAAACTGCTTAGAGGCATTATGCGATTTGCGGTAAAGAAATATCTTATTATTATCATTATTATTGACTGCTATGCAATTTAATATTTTACTGGCATAGGCAGTGTGAACCTATTAGATTTAGGGTTGCATACTGACAGTTATATTTTGGAAAAAGATGATCTTCTCCTTCTTCTTTAAATTCCACATAGATTAATAAAATGTGAAAATAGATATCACATATTCCCGATACAGGATAAACATTGATGAAAATGAAAGGCAATATGATAGATAATACTCATGAAACATCAATAAATATGTTTTTATAATAGATGGTATGACATTTGATTTAAGTTTAATAGTAATGTTCTATATTTAGGGAAATAGGATTACACCATAGTATTGTAATAGTATTGTATTGTAAAAACTGCAGTATTCAGATATAGTTGCGGGAAAACAGTATATACACTGTTTAATTCAAAGGCAAAGCTTAAAAACTCTTCTTTTTTTTTGCAAACAATTTTCTCGCCGACTATTTAAAGGATATTGCTTTATTTTGATGTAAAAAACTGCAGAATATGAAACTACACCAGCAATGGTTAACTTTGCAAATGTACATGTGTTGCATTTTACCAATCACAATGATTTGTAATTTAAAATAACATTAATCCCTCCTGTGCTACATGTACTATAGAGGGGTAAGTTTTAAATGAACTCAGTCAGAAGTTCAAAATATATTTGATATTGAAGGCGCTTATATTGGCAGGCTCAGTATAATAGGCATTAAGAGGTCATCTATTTTTTAAATTTTAATTGATTTAAAAAAAATATATACATATATGTATATATATATTATATATTTAGATTCTCCCCCATATTTTATAATACAGCCAATCTTGATGGTGCTATACAATGACCAAAGAATAAGGATAGTAAAGAAAACCACAGAAGTTCTGATATTGTTTTTCAAAATGTGGGTATATGCTATTAAACGGAAAAGTATAATGAGTATTGTATACTTGCATACCACGTTCAAATCATAGGTAGAGATAAGCTTGTATGTGTACAATGTACAATGTACATATATGTTTTTGTTAACCCTTTCAAGACAGAATAATTTTAGTAAAGTGATCACATATTTTTCTTCAAATTGAAAACAATAATATATTTCCTTTATTGCTACATTGTTAAATCAAAATATAATGTCCCTGAAAACAATATATGTGGGCGATAATGTTGTCAAAATTTTGTTTAAAATGCACAATTTTTTATGGTAAACAAGTTATCTTGAATCTTTTAACGTGTGGCCAATTTAAAGATTATAAAGATATTTTCCTTTAAAAAAATTCCAGGTATCAAACGCAACATAGTCACTAAATAAAACTGGATATAGTATGGCAACAGTTTTCGCCCTTTTCACTCATGCAACTGGCAAATTTGTCAGAGATCTGAATTTATTGCGCCAAACCACGAATTGTTGAATGATTGTCGCGAAAGGGTTAAACAAGATTTGAATATTGTGAGACATGATTCATAGTTTGTACGATAAGTGAGGTTAGAATAAAAAAGAAAACAACTTCCAAGTGCACAAAGACTTAAAAACCAATGAAATGAAACCTATTAGTTGAACAGATTAATAATGGTGGAAAACAGTGTGAATACTCCAATAAGTACAAAACCCATGCTCGAGTTATTAATTATGCAAAGAAAAGATGAAGGAAAATAAACAAAAACAAAAGCACACTTTGAATGGAAACTTGTATGAGTAATTGTGAGAATTCAACTGAAGAATTAAAGAGCAAACATAAATGCCAGAATCGAAGGATCAGATCGGAAAAGCAAACTGAGAATAGTGTCACTAGAGGGAGGCAGACAGACTCCAAGGAATATCAAAATTGTGTTATTACGCAGAGAAGTCATTCCGAGTAAAAACCACGCCAAAGGTCAAAGGTCGATTAGAGGATCGATAAAGGCACCACAATTAGAAATTCTTGCTCAAACTGAGAAGAAAAAAACAGGAGTCAGAAATGTTTTAATAGGAGAGTTGTTGGAGAGTTTTAAGATATAACATTACCTTTGGTGTAAGCTCGTGTTCTAACACCATGTGAGTTGCCTTTTTGAATATATAAAACATTCACAGGGATGCAAAAAATAATGCAATAAGAAGGGAGAGAAAAAAAGAAGGGATTGCAATCAATTGAAAGAGAAATAAATCATTCTTGGGATGTAAGAAAAATCAATCTTGAAAAGGGAGATAACAAGTTGCAAAAATATTTTTAAGAACATATCTCATTCCCAGAAATCTACATAAAAAAATGAACTGAAAGTAAAATTAAATTGTTGGAGAAACAAAAATAACAAGGAGGGTAAAACAAACAACCTTATCTTTTAAATGAATATGGGTCAAGCAATACTTTCATGGTGTAAATTTAATTAAAAAATATTCCGGTATCATAAAACCAGTACCTTTTATGTGAATGAAACTGTCACCAATGTTGCAAGAGGTCAAGGTTCAGGAAAGTTTCATGCAGCAAAATGACTGAATGACACTTGCAACATTTACTTTTTGCAAGTGGCAAATGTTTTTTTGCTACAAAACAGTCATCAGTAAAATTTCATGCCAGAGTCATGTCATGAAAGTTTTATTGTTTCACAGTACTTATTTTTCTCTTTGGAAAGGGATTCTTTTAAATATGAGTTGCTTGCAATAAGGTGTTTATATTTCTCATCCAGAGACGTATACTATCATCGTAAAGTACATACAAGTCATGTATTATCCTTGTGTCATTATAATCAGAATTTCATCTTGATCTTTTTGATCATCCTCATTATCATTGATCATGTTATGAGCCTCAACATCATCACAATACCCGTAAAAAGTAAGCAAAGTATTTACCATCAACTTACATTTCAAGAACTCAATTCAACCAACTATTATCCTACATTACTCATGCCATAAAATGTATACATAAAATCAGAGGAGAAAATTATGTAACATTGCATTTGAAAGCTACTGTTTCCATTTTCCATCCTTGAGTTCTGCGTTTTCATGTAACCCATAAAGAACCTGTGAATAAAAGCATGTTAAAGCTGACCTCTCTCTTTCTCTCTTTCTCTCATCTTTTTTCACCCCACTCTTTCGCTCTGTCTTTCTATCTCATTCATCTTTCTCACACCACTCTTTCTCTCTCTCTCACCCTCCTTCTCCCTATCTATCTATCTCTCTCTCTCCCTGTCGCTCCTATCTCCCTCCCCCCTCTCTCTCTCTCTCTTTCTCTCTATCCCCTCTCTCAACCTCTCCCACCCTCTCACCTCTCTATTCCCCTCTCCCCCCTCCCTTAATATCCCCACCTCCTCAACCCCTGTCAATCTCTTACCCTCTTCTAGCCTCTCTCTCTCTCTCTCTCTCTCTCTCTTATTTTTTATCTGTGCTTGTATTCGTAGCAAATCCTTCATTTGGCAATTTTCATTGCAAAACATATCAAATACAATTGCATTCCTGTACTGTACATGTATGTTCAGTGAAACATGCTACATTTGGATTGTACGTTAGGTTTAGATAATCTATAGTTTTTACTCTAGTGTTGAAGTTAGGAATTCATTTTGTGAAGGAAATTGATCATGGAGAAGAACCCTGCAACCACCCCTCCATGCAAAGCACTACATGTACATCTACTGAGCTAGGATTTTTAAAATCAAAATTTCATGGCTTCTTTATTGTATAAGAAAATGTGATTTCCTGATTTATATAAAAAAACTGCTATTTTGATGTTCTAGCTTTGTATGTTATCTCATGACATCTTTCAAATACAGTGACGTTCATGATTTCTGATATTTGTAGAAACATGTTATCTCCTGTTCTCATCACTTATTGCATTTTATTGCTCATATGTGAGTTCAAGAAGCTATCTTATTCTATACAGTTACATTCTTGAATTAAAAAGGTACTGTCAATCAATCTTCCTTCTGTGGTTAAGGAAATCTACATGTATGCAAATCATTTATGAATGCATCAACATCCAAAGACATCTATCCTGTTTGGAACCTTAAGGGCGTTAACTCTGTGGTTAAGTATACAAGCTAAAGCCTTTATGGCTCCAAACAGACAATTTCATGTCCAAGAGAACAGCTAGATATGGAAGGATAACAGGTAAGGTGAATTTAACGTACCGAACTGGAAGACACTGAAGCGCCGCTTCCCGGTCCCGTCGCCCATGTCGTCCTCCAAGGTGGCTTCGTTGTGCGGGTATTTCTTGCCGAACAGGGATCGTCGGAGTCGCGTGCCGGGACTGACGTTGCCAGACTCCATGCCCTGGTCTTTGCCGATCATCGAGGCCGGGTTGGACTTGTCGCCGTCCTGCTTGCAGATGTTGCCATCGCTAGGTGAGAATGGGAGAGGAGGGAAAATTCATAAAATACCTGTAGGCCCTACTGGAGTGGAAAATTTTTTATCATGTGATTTGGGGGCTCGATTAAATCTTACCCCAAAATTTGGAAAGTAATATTAAGTATCTATTCATAAAATATGCAGAGCAAAAATCCTAACTTACATACATGTACTGTAGCAAATGTATACATTTTGCAGAAAAATTCTTCATTATGTGATTTTGGGGCTCAATCAGCAAAATACATCAAAATGTTATCCCCCCCCCCCAAAAAAAAAAAAAAAAAAAAATTGTTTTTCTGTATAAAATAATCAGAACAAAAATTTTAATTTCATGAATACTGAGGAAAAAGAATCCCCTTGACCTGCGTGTTATAAGATCGTAATTGAAGCACATAGTAGTTCAATAATCTGCATTTCCTGCAGCTTTCTTATCTGTTCTCACATCTAAATGAGACTATGCACTGTTTACTTTCATTACCTGTCTGTTTTGGGCAGTTTGTTTTTCTCACTGAAGTCTTTCTGTCCCTTGCCTGCCGAATCAATCAATCCACTTAATGCCACACGTCTGAACACTCCTCCGTGAGCCTCGCGGACGTAATGAAGCAGCTGCCGGACATCGCTATAGAGATTCTGTGGGTAAGAGATATGCAAATTGGCAACAACCCTGTCACCTTCACTATTCATGACGCAGTTTATACCCCGGCCCCCCCCCCACTCAAAGGTCGGAATGACCGCATGCGTGTTGCCAAAATGTCCGGTAAAGGGGTATTTTTCGTGCGACAAAGTCTGGCCCGAGAATTGTAAAAAAATGGGTGTATTTGACTTTCCACCCTGAGATTTTTTTAAAAAGGGGGTGTTTTTCTTTTTTTCTCTCATCTCTTTGGACTCTTGAGAAATTATTCCGAATTTAGGGGGGTAAATTGAGCATTTTTCCTGATTTAGGGGGGTCTCCAAGGCAGGAAAAGCCTGCGAAAAGCCCGCGAAAGGGGGGTTTGGAAATGTTGGCAGTCCTCAGATAGGGGGTGCTTTCAAAAAGAGGGTACGAGCATATGCGTACCCTAAATAACACTGAGTGGGGGGGGGGCCGGGGTTTATACACTGTGATATATCTGTCATGCATTGTTCTATACCATTTCTTCTAGTCCAGCCAACAACAATAGCCAAAAAATAGCACATACAATATTTCTTTTTCTTCTGGGTTACAAATACATTTAGAAGTACAATACGGTAATTGAAATATCCACACAAAAAATCACACAAAGTAAGAGGAGTGGCCACAACATATTTTAAAAATTAAATTTTGAACAATGAGAATATTTACCCCGATATATAAACATTTATATAATAAAAAAAATGATGAAGTATTAAAACCAAAATACACAAAATGCTCCGGAGCCAAACTCTTTTGCGACAGGAAAACTTTGATAACTTGTAAACAAGTCATTTGGGGATCAAGAAACTTAGTGAATTGCAAAAATTTAGTGTTGTGTCAGCTGTGTATCAATTATTTCCCCCTATGAAACTTTGTAAATGTGAACCACTTGAAAAATTAACAATTATTTCATGCATGTAAAAATTTCTTGTTTTATAGATTAATGTTATTCAATCAAATATGAATATATCTAAATTGAGCGTGGTTGACCTATTCACCCTTTCAATAAATGGGTGTGTATTTATCTGAAAGGATGACAGTATTGAAAGCTCACCTCATTTTCGGGAGTAGCCAGCTCTTCTTTGGAGGATGCCAGCCTGGAAACCAAAGCCTTGAAGATGCAGCCCACGATGGTCCCTTCCACACCCCTAACACCGGTTCCTGCTACCCCACTACCAAAGTTGGTAGCAAAGCCACCTCTGGTCATCCCTTCTGGGTTGTTGGTTGATGATGCTCCTGTTGTATAAATGGATTTCTTAATCATACGTGTGTTTAGGGTTATTATCATCCCCATCATCAATCATTGTTTCATTGTTTAATTACTAAAACTATCATCATCCTCAACACCATCATCTTCATTCTCATCACCACCATCAAAACCATCATCCCCACCATCACTATCATAGCTTTCATCATCACAATCCTTATCATCATCAACAATGTCCTTTGGCAAGACATTGATCTACATTTGCCACTCTCCACCCAGGTGTTAAATGGGTACCCAGTAGGATGCGAAAGCTAATGTGCTTAGATTAGCAAGTGTGGGCTTGTAAAATTGGTACATCATTACCAAAACTATAAATTGATCACCGTTATCATCAACGTCACCATTACCACTAGCATTAGCAGAATCATCATCGCCATCACCATCATCATTATAAGTGGTCATTATCATCACACTCACAATTGTCATTAGGTGATACGTAACGAAGTCTACGTATCACCTATTGATTTCGTCAAGATTTTTATTTATTATTATTCTTCTTCTTCCTATTATTCTTCCTCGATTTTGTTCACAGGATATCTCAAGACTGAATAAAGCCATTGTCATGAAACTTTCAATGATGATAGATCTTAGTCTAACTTAGAACTGCGTGACTTTTCAAAGACTCAAAGTTATCGTGACATCATCCAGGCGCCATTTTGTGAAAATCAACTTATGATCATATCTTCATAACGGAAAGTAATTTTTCATTCATATTTATCATGAATAAGATCAATATCCGTCCGGTCAATTTAAGGTCAATAAACGTGCGCAAATGCGCAAATTTTTTTTGCATACGTTTCAGGCCATATGGAGCATTTGACAAAATCATGCACGCGCGCATGCGCACGGTTTTTTGCGCGTACTAGCATTTTGCAACATAGAATCGCCGTATTTTCTCTATCATCATATTTGGCACATTTTTCCAAGCATTTTGATAACTTGTTCATCTTTTAATAACGTAATGAGCGTCCGTCAAAGTTGACAGCACGCACGGACCTGCGTTATCTTTATCCACAATACATGAGCAAAAACATGCCTATACAAAATTCTTTGTAACTCTTCAGAATAGATAAGAACTCCCAATATGTTATCATATTTAGATAGATTATGAGTCGGAAATGTGATTTCATGTCTCAATTGACCCTCAATTAACTCATGACGTCATCATAATGGCCTCCAAACTCAAAATTTCAATTTGCATATTATGACGTCAGCATATTTTTGGAAAATTGATTGTATCTCTGTAAATATTGATTGATTTTCTTTCAAATTTTGATATGTTCTAGCTGAGACAATTGTCTACAAATATCATGACCACAATTTTTCATTTTGACAAAGGCATCATGGCGTATTTTTGTGATTAAAGGAGGCATGTCAATTTTTCACATTTTGCGTGTATTCTCTACGGGACATGACTTTTTCTCAAAACTGGATTCGACACTCCTGTCTTTCGCGAGCAAAATCTCCGTTGCTTTAGCTTCGTTTTTGCTGAGCTTCGAATATGTTGTAGCTGAGATGATAAGCTATCACAAATGTGTCTTTTATTTTTCGATCAGATGCCGGGATTATGCTCATATTTCACTTGAAAAGTAGGATTTGAGAATTCCATTTCCCGTTTATGTGTAATCGCTATGGGACATGTTTGGGTATATCGGTAACGCACTTGACTTCCATCCTCGAGATCCATGGTTCGAGTCCGGGTGTCTCCAACAATATTTGTCTTCACTTTTTCTTATTTTGACCTTTCACTGTACCATATCCTTTGATTATTAAAACACGTAGAGTCGCAATAATGTAATAAACAACTCTATTTACTTTATTATTACCCTATTTTCACTAAATCCATTACTTTTTGCGTTTAATCCCTATGGGAGATGACTTTTTCTCAAATCCTGATTCTACATTCCAGTGTTTTGAGCATTATCGCTGGTATTTCCGTTTGGATTTTGTTGATTTTTGATTATGTTGTAGCTGAGACAAGTTTCCACAATATTTATGTAGACTATCTAACATTATCATGACGTTATCATAGTAAAAAATTCAACCATAGGTGACATGTCAATTATCATGTATAACAATCCTCAATCAAATACCTGAAGGGGGCGCTATACCACTTTTAATCATGGTCATCTGGAAGGCATTGTTAACAATTGCATCTCTCTCTCTCTCTCTCTCCTCTCTCTTGCTCTTTTACCTTTTCCTCTCATGTTCTGCCCCTCTCCTTTTTTGGTCCGTCTCTGCATCTATCTATTTCTCTTCTCTTTCACCCTCTCCCTCTCTCTTGCCTTGCCTCCCTCTTATTCTCTTGGTCTGTCTCCCTCTGCCCTACAGTTGAAACTTGACTCATTGATAGACCATAATGGGAGTAGTAAACGAAAGATGAAATCGTGAAAATGCGTTCTTCATTATGTTACACATGAGCATACATATCACCTAATTCGTCAAAGTGATGAATTAAAGTCTAGTTATTAATTACCACCATCAGCAACATCAGACTCGTGCGCACCACCATAAGAAATTCTCATGATGATGATGCTCATTATAATCATCATCATCATTTACATTATCATATTTATGATCACTATCATCACTACATGTCATCATCACCTTCTTTATCATTATTATCTCCTTTTCCATTATCAATATCAAATCTGTTATCATGGTTATCATCATCACCACTATGATCATCATTGTCATCATCATCTTCATCTTTATTATCATCTTGACATCACTATCATCTTCACTGATTAACTCACTCCTTTCCAGCCTGATGACCACTGTCTGGGATGTGTCCCCAGCATCATCATCATCTTCTGCTTAATCATCATCATTATCATCACCACCACCATCACTTCAACTGCATCATTGTAATCATCATTACAGTATTATTATCATCACCACCACTACCATCATCTTCTTTTTCTTTATCATTTTTATAATCATTATCATCAACACCATTACCGGGCTTATCATCATCATCAACATCATTATCATCATCATCAACATAATTATCATCATCACCAGCAATGTCAGCATCATCATCAACTCCATTAACATTATAATCACCCCCACCCCCACCACCACCACCACCACCCCATTTGACTTACTCTCTCCCAGCCTGATGACTGATGGCCGTGATGTGTCCTCGCAGAAACCCAGGAGAGCATGCATAAAGTCCAAAATATTCTCCACGGGATGAGCCGAGATGACATAACGAAGGTAGCGTCGGAACTGGGATGAATCGATCTTGTACATACGATTCAGGCAGTGATGGCCAAGATTACGTAGCCTGTCACCTGACAAAGATCATAGAAAACATTGAAAGGGTTATTAAAATGATAACGATGTTGATGAAGTTGATAAAAAATAATTTAATATTGTTAATCACAATTAAAAATAGTGAACTGAGACAATTCTATATCTTGTACATGTCCACCTGATTTAGACAATGCGTGACCAAGTTATATGATCTATCACCTGACAATAATTGTAAGGAGATAAATAGTAATGTCAACAATGTTTGGTGAAAATGGTGATGACGACTGTAATGATTAAAAGAATATGATAAAGTACTGAATGGTGAAGTACTGAATGTAATACTGACACTTTATCATTTTCAAAATTCATGAAGATTTTCACACTAAAACTTTTTAAAGATTAATAATCAGCAAGAAAGAGAAGACTGCAGACACTATTAAGATAGTGGTCTTTTGACAACAGACAACCTACAAGAAAGGCACCAAATTAATCAACAAAGCTGAGGAAGTGCATTGATTGATACGAATCTGTCTTTTAAATCTGCTTCAGGCAGTGCTGAATCATGAATCAATATATTCCTATCTACCACTGATTGTAATTAATAATCCAACTCAAATCAATTCAAGACTGTTTCTTTTGAAGATCGGCATTTCTTTGTATTGACAGTTTTTAAGACTATGATAATGATGATATTTAATAACAAAAAGGACCGCAGGAAAGGGAGCATCTAAAATGACAAGAATCTACAATCCAATAGATGCAGTGCTGAATCAATGTGTTCATATCTTCTGCTGATTGTGATTCATAATCCAACTTAATCACCATTAAAAGAATAGAAAATTTTGCAGATCAGCTTTTTTTTCATATTACCAGTGATGAAGATTACAACAATGATACAGATAATAACAAACGAATGCAGCAAACGAAGTGCCTGAGGCCCTGAACTGAAACAAATCTATCTTGTACATCCCTAGGAGTCCCTCAGAGAGGACTTAAAGCCGCCGGTCCCCTGGTTCCTTACTTAGAAACATACACATGCTTTCTAAGCAGTCAGGTAAAACAAACAAACAAGCATCCAATTTAGACAGTGCTAACATGAGGCGTTCATATCTGATGCTGATTGTAATTCTAAGTCAAAGTCATTTCAACAACTGTATTTTGAAATTTAGGCTCTGTTTTTGCTCTTAAAACTGCCATCACTGGTAGAAGTAGTAGTAGTATTTATTAATATACAATATAATTATATTAAAAAACAACGTAAGTGGCTAGATTGCTCATATTCAGCCTTGCCTCGCATGACGCGGCTTTGTATGAAAACAAGCCTGTTAACCACATTCATTGAATGTCCTTGAATGTAATTGAATTTAATTGAATGTCTGCATTAACTCTTTCTCTTTCTCTTTCTCTTTCTCTTTCTCTTTCTCTTTCTCTTTCTCTTTCTCTTTCTTTTTCTTTCATATCGTTTGACATACATTACACATGTACATTGTATCTGTACTAAAAGTTGAGTGTGGCAGTCCTTCATTTGCCTAATTCGTCGACGAATACTCAAAAGAAGGAAGAGCGATTGCTTTTGCATGGCTTCTTCTTGCAACTCCACATCCATGTACACGTACAAGATTTTTACGTTTGTCTACAAATACAAGTACAAGGCTTCTACTTTCATCTTTAAAGGGGAGGTCCACCCTGATATTGTGTTGGTTTTTATAAAAGCAGAAAGAAGCAGATTAGTGAAAGTTATAAAAGCTATGAATTTTTTAAAGTTTTAATAATTAAACAAACATTGGCAACTCAATAACGTACATATATGTTTTGAGGTAGTAGGTCCTCTTGCATTTTAACATTCTGAATAGAAAAGTTCAAAAGATTTTGTTTTTGTACATGAGGTTGTTCCACATATGCTTTATATAAATGTTATGCTAATTGATGGGAACTATTTGCCATAATGTTTAGGTCATTATAAAGAGGGAAAAGGACGACAATCTACTCTGTGTGTATATAACGCATGTTAGCTGTTGAGAGTTGTTGATACACAAATAATAATAATAAAAATAATCGCAATAGTTTACCCAGGGTAGCCTCATCAATATCGATACTTACCACCGGCTTTATGAATGATTTATGCTGTTTTAATTTGAACTAATTGCCATAATTTGTACCTCATTTAGGAGGGGAGTTAATATTCAGTGTATATGCAAACTGTAGATACATGTACCTCTATACTGTTTGTAAATTATAAATTCCATGCTAATTGAAATATAATAATAATAAGATCAATTCATTAAGCCCAACTCCTATATAAACATACTTTACTGCACTGTGATGAAAACAGAACTCTTAACAGTTCTAATTTACAGACACACAATTAAAATCTATTCAAAAGCTCCTGCAAAAAAAGCGTTTTTAATAAAACTTTGACGACAGCAAAAGATAATTCTTTTCTTATGTGTAGTAGTAGATTGTTCCAAAGCTTTGGATGAAGCGGCGCAACTGTGTAAATGTAATTTGAAATTCTTTAATTAAAGGTAAAGACCAGTTATGGTCATGCGATTGCATTGTGAAAGAAACGTTGTGGAATCGATCAGAAAAGGTTGATCATTTAGCATCTAGCATCTGCAAGGTTCTGGAATCATCAAAATGATAAGAAATTTGGCCCATTCTTCGTAAAGTTACAAGCACTATACACAGAAAGATGTATATGGGACTACCCTATATCTCTCACAGACCATGAGAGAAACAAATTTACCAAATATATGAATTAGTAGGCTTTTTCCCGGCAAATTTTTTATCATCATGTATTAGTTAAAACATATTCTTTCACATGACTGGTAATGAGAGCTTCCATTTCATTTTTTGAAATTGGGGCGTTTCCAATACTGGTCTTTACCTTTAAGATCATACATGCATGTGGTTGTTATAAATGCACACTGTACAATACAAATGTACATGAACAGGAGGGTGATACGCTAATTGAATCAATTGTCATAATATTTTATATTAGTGTCTTATCTTCCCATGTTGATGCAGTACTAAAACAGCTTTGATTGTTATCTCAATCAACACATGGAGGTCTTCACGGCAGACACTATAATAACAAATACAAGAGCAAGGGAGATATACCCGGTACATGTATCTAGATACTAGTCTGTCTGTCTTCCCCCTCATGTACATAATACAATGTGTGCCGGTAAAAAGGAAACCCACATTCACGTTGTAGAGGTGTCATGGTCTATTGGACACTTCCCCAGACTGTGGATCACAAAAAGGCCTCTCCTCATCAGCTCGAGTTTGCCAAATAACCCGCTATTTTCAGACTCAGGATATTATCCCGAAGCTAGAAATTGCATCTTCACCAGACCAATAAGCTCATCACAAATGTTGAATGATTATGATTTATGTACACATTTCTAAAACATTTTGTCTTTTGTCATTTTACTGTGTTAAAGAGAAGGTTGAGTTCTGGGAAGAGGTGAAAAATAATTTGTGAACGTTACTCATTCTTATTATGCAAGTGTGGAAGAACATCAGATAAGACATGTTCCCTGAAAAACATGGCTCTTCAAATGCCTTCATATTCTAAATATACATGTAACATCGTAAAAATCAGGGGGCCGGCTTTTTACGCCACGTGTTCGTGTAGTCCCATATACATCTTTCTGGGTACAATGTTTGTAACTTTACCAAGACTTGGCCAAATTTATTATCATTTTGATGATTCCAGAACCTTGCAATACACACAAATTCTTATATGCTAGATGATCAACCTTTTCTGGTCGGTTCCACACCGTTTCTTTCACAATGCAATCGCATGACCAGAACTCAACTTCATCTTTAACTCCATGTAATTCAGCCCAAGGGCTGCCATGTGGAATTTTACAAATAAATTCCAATACCAATGAACAGTCTTTTTTATGGGTGGAGGTCTTTTAATGTTATGTAGCTTAGGAGGCATACTGTATAGTTGTTCTATCCTCTGCAGATTCATAAAGACATGGAGTGACTTGCATGGCAGGGCTATGGGAACATGCCCTCTTGGCTCACTTGATCTGTCACTTACAATCAGTTAGCCAATTAATCTCCGACATATATACCCATCACATTGTCCCTCACAATTTCCATCACTAGCCAAAAAAGACTGGTAGTACAGCTGTGTGCCGTCAGAATAGCATTAATTAGGAAATTACTAATTCCAAATCTGTTGGAAGTGCCCTTCTATTTAACAGAGCAAAAAGTCTACTGAGAGGCAGAAACGCATTAGTTCTGTATTAAAGTATGAATTGTTGAATACACTTCAGGCTCTCAGCTGGAACAGATACATAATCAGAGACTTGGAATATTGTTGCACAAAAATTGTGTATTTCAATCATGAATTTCTCTTGAAACTCTGACCTGTCCCTTTAATCTGGATAAGGATTGCACAGGAGACAGATGGGAATGTTAACATGTTTTGCCTGTCAAATAATGTATATTTCTGATGAAGTTTTCTCTATCTCTCTATCGATCTCTCTCTCTCTCTCTCTCTCTCTCTCAAAGTAATTTTCTATTGATATGTTGCACCATCATCACCAAATGCACAATATTTTAATTTTAAATATCATAAATGCTAGCAAATTCAAATACTGTTTCCTACTAAACATACGCTGGGCCTACATTGAGAGTTTGCAGGTCAACTATGATATCTCTTTAAAAACTCTGACCTGTCCCTTTAGATTGGATAAGGATTGCATGGGAGTCTTTACATGTCTTATGTGAGTTTTTTCCCCTCCCCTACCCCACTTTCTCTCTCCTTCCCTCCCTCCCTCCTCCCTCTCTCTCTCTCTCTCTCTCTCTCTCATCATTATCTCTCTGTTTCATCTTCATCACCAAATTATACATGAATACAAATCCTTTGTTAATGCATAGTATCCACAGAGCTTGCATTCAAATTTGCAGGTAAAGCATGAATATCTAACCAAAAATATCTGGACTGTCCCTTTAATTTGAGAGGGCTGCATGGGAGCCAGATGGGAGTGTTTACATGTCTCCCGTGTCACCATAG